AAGGGTAGCCCGTGGGGCTGGTGCCATGACTGCGTGCTGTTCCCCTGCAGCGTGATCCGGCTGATCATGCAGTACCTGAAGGAGAACAGCCTCCACAGAGCCCTCGCCACTCTTCAGGAGGAAACTACTGTGTCTCTCAACACTGTGGACAGTATTGAGAGCTTTGTGGCTGACATCAACAGTGGGCATTGGGACACAGTGCTGCAAGCCATACAGTCACTGAAGCTGCCCGACAAGACCCTCATTGATCTCTACGAGCAGGTGAGTGAGTGTAGGTTGCGTACGGAATTTTCTGGTCTGGGTGGAAGCCCCTCTCTGGTGTTTTCCACTTATCCTTTGCTGATGTAAATGTTTGTCTCTTGATGCAGGTTGTGCTGGAGCTGATTGAACTCCGGGAACTAGGTGCTGCCAGGTCTCTTCTGAGACAAACAGATCCAATGATCATGCTCAAACAAACTCAGCCAGAGCGGTACATCCACCTCGAAAACCTTCTGGCCAGATCTTACTTTGATCCTCGTGAGGTATGTTATGCTTTTCCTGGAGACCTCATGATGTTGTCTTGCGTGACTTGTAGCTGCTAACAAGTTGCTAACAAGTTGCTAACAGCTTACAGCATGTCATTCTTTTCCATTCTGGGGGTGAGAACGTGCACCTTCCCAGTTTGATGATTTTGTGAAGTGTTTGGGAAATGATGTGTAATGCTTGACCACAAGGCAGCAGAGCAGTGGTTTTGAAGTATACTGCAGGTGGGAGTTTGGGGATTTATACCTGTAGCCTGCCACAGGACATCTGTGCCCCACTTTTCCTGTCTTATATATCTAGAAGAAAATGTACATTTTGTAAATAAAATGTGCTATAATAACAAAGCATTAGTTCTGACTGATTATGTCAGTCTGATATTCTTAGTGAAAGCGTATCCCAAATGTTGCAAGGGTTGGTGTTAAAGGTAGACAGTGTTTTGAAGGCCTAATAGAAAGTTAATCTGGAAGGGGCTTCGATTCAGAGCAATGAATGTTTTTATGGAAAATAGTTTAGAAGAATTGCTTCATAAAAATAACATAAAAATAATTTCTGTCTAGGCATACCCAGATGGAAGTAGCAAGGAGAAGCGGAGAGCTGCTATTGCACAAGCTTTAGCTGGAGAAGTCAGCGTGGTACCTCCATCTCGTCTTATGGCGTTGTTGGGGCAGGTAATTCTTGACAAATATTTTAGTAGCTATCTCAGTTTCTGTAGATCTTTGCTGCATAAAAGTAACTATGATGTAGTTGATTTTCCAGCTCAATAAAAGTAAAGGTTAAGTATTGCACATTCACATGTGGTATAGTTAAAAGTTGTATTTTCTCTATTTGGCAAGGATTTAGCAGTTGTAGGAAAGGTCAGCACTCCAGTGGTAGATTTCTTCCCATAGGATAAATACTCAGTGCATAGAGAAGATTATTTTGGAAGTACATACTAACACACTGTTTCTGTTGTTGTACTTAAAACTCTTTTTTTAATTCTCGGAATGTATTCATTGGTACTCGATGCAGACAGTATTTCATGTATTTTGCTGTTTTATGGCTTACATCTTACTTTTTAAGCTTGTAAATATGCCAGATAAATTCTCTGTGCATAACAGGCATGTCCTGTGGCTGAAGCCAGCTGTCTGCTGAAGGGGTTGTATAAGATTCTGTCTTTTGAATGAAGTTCAGTTGTGCCTTCCAAGAAAGATTATGTGTCATTTTTAGTTTTAATATATGCAGTTCTAAGCAAATAGACAAGATGTCAGGTAGTTTAAATTAACACAAGATTGAATTCACACTTGTATGTACTGTATGCTGCATACTGAAGGTAGAATGAGAAGAGTGGGCCTGAGTCATTCTCACCTGTAAAAAACATTTGGGGATAATGTTCTATTCTGTTTGTGGTCATGAGTTAGGAAGTGTAATCTGGTAAGTCTTGTTTCAGGTGATTGTTTGCAGTGTATTTGTCTCACGCTGTACAGGCGTACAATTTGTAAGGGTACAAGAAACTATTCCTGTATTGTGTTAATTAGAAGCAGGCTTTGATGAGGAAGATGTATGTTAACTGATACCTACTGATATGTGTTTCAACTCCTCCAAAGGCATTGAAGTGGCAGCAGCATCAGGGCCTGCTTCCTCCTGGTATGACAATCGACTTGTTCAGAGGTAAAGCAGCTGTGAAAGACGTAGAAGAAGAAAAATTCCCCACACAACTGAGCAGACATATTAAGGTGATGTTGTGTTTGCTTTTGTTTGTGTTACTGCTTCTTATTCTTTCCTGTGCTTTATATTGGGAGATGAGAGTAAACCTTCTGAATTCTTGTGTTCCCCTTTTTGTAAGTAATTTCACCCCCTCTCTCTTTTCTCTTTTCCCCCCCCCTCTTCTCCATGCTTTATGTCATCAGGAGGCTTTTTGTGAGACTCTGAAATGAGATCCCTTAACAAGATTGGGTACTCGTGGTTATTTGTGAATGTGATAAATGTATTAATTGTTTCTTTCACTTCATAGTTCAGAATCATTCAGTTTTCAGAAGTGACGTGTGTAGTACCCTTGTTCATTTGTGGAAGGAAATACTCGTGTCCTCAACTTCTATGCACCACTTAAGTTTTTAGCATGAACTACTACATACCATGTCTACTAATATGATCAGTATCTCCTTTTTAAGGATTTTATCATATAGATTTGAAGAGAAAAAGAAAACTGTGCTGTAATGACATAGTCGTCCTGCAGCACTCAAAATGTGGAATAGGCATTTTCCTCCTGTGAAGGCTTTTCTATTTCACCAAGCAGTTCTGTACAGTGAGAAGTGTTAGTTCACTGTAGTAGCTCTACGAGTTCTCACAATGAACAGAAGATAATGTTTTTCAGAAGTCATGAGTTGGAACTTCTGAAATCAATTTATGTTCAGTAGCAGCTTCGTAAAAACTCTTTGTTAGAACTTGTTTTGTTCACCAGTACTGATCTTTGATTTTTGTATTGATTAGTGAAAACTATTTTATGTAGTTAGTTGTCATGATCACTTGTGTTTAAAATTTTTAAATCTAAAAATTGTATATAAAAAATACCAAACATTCTCTGAAAATTTCAATGGAGAAACATCATTCCAAGTGAAGCAACTTACACTACTTCAGAAATTTCTGAAGTCTGCTAGGGTTATATGTTGGGTACTGGAGAGGTGTTTGTTAATATACACAATTCACTGCAAACCCAAAAATATTAAGACAACCATTGCAACTGCTGCTGTAATCATGGAGTGTTTGATATAAGTTTCACAGATATTACCAGATCAAAGGGAGGGGTTTTTGTTTGTTTTTGAAGTGCTAGTTTGTAGGTATTGACAGTGAGGTTTTTTGTACCTTAACGTTAATTTTGTGAATACATTATATTTTTGCCAGCAAAATGAGACAACAGTTTTGTTCTAATGAGTTGCTTCTTTTAAATTGCTTATTGGGCTTAATTTATATTTTCTTCTAAACCAGTTTGGGCAGAAGTCGCATGTGGAGTGTGCTCGGTTTTCCCCAGACGGACAGTATCTGGTTACTGGCTCTGTCGATGGTTTCATTGAAGTATGGAACTTCACTACTGGAAAGATTAGGAAGGTAAATTGCACCTTATTTCATATGGATGGTTCATTGTCTAGAGCACCTGGTTTTATTCTTTTAGATAATACTTGTATTCTTTGAGATTATACTTTATGTTGGTTTTAATTTCTCGGGGACTGTGAAGCTGAAAAGGATGTGTGCTTGAGCAATTCAAATATTGGTCTGGAATCTTTACATGGGTTTAATTGTCTCATTTGTCATAGACTTCCCTCTGCGATAATGGTTTTTTAACCTTTCTAGATCATTGGTTTTGCCTCTAAAATGGTGACAATAGCACTTCCCTGTTATTATAAGGCTGTGAGGTCTGCTTCATGATAGGTTATAGAATATAACTCAAGTTAAAACTGCTAGTACTTTTGCATTTTGCCTTAAAATATATTTCGTTGAATTCACTATTTTGACTGGTGGATCTGCTTTCATTTAGGATCTGAAGTACCAGGCACAAGATAACTTTATGATGATGGATGATGCAGTGCTGTGCATGTGCTTCAGTAGAGATACAGAAATGCTAGCAACTGGAGCACAAGATGGAAAGATCAAGGTGCGTATCTTTTTGTACGGTGTGTTGATAGAGGTGATGACCAGAAAGATTCTCTTGCAATTGCAGTAATGTTGCAATTCCATATAAAAATGAATTAAGTTTAGCGTGGCTCAGAAACAGATACGTATTGGCTCTGATGTTTAAGCTGCTGTGATCTCATGATAAAGTAACCACCTCTATTTCATTTGCTGTTTCCTCTTCAGGTGTGGAAAATCCAGAGTGGTCAGTGTCTGAGAAGATTTGAACGAGCACACAGTAAAGGTGTTACATGCCTCAGTTTCTCTAAGGACAGCAGCCAAATTCTTAGTGCTTCTTTTGATCAGACAATCAGGTAAATAAACTGAGAATTTGTGAGCTACAGTGCAGGAGAAAAAAACCCAGAATTTTCACATTAAGCAGCTAAACTTATGAATATAGATTCATTTTACCTGGTATAGATTCATTTTACCTGGTATTTGATCCTTTTGCATGGAGTTTTAATACTAATAGGAGAGCATGGCTGCTGAGGGTTGTAGAGGAACAGTTTGAAAGTTTGACCTTTCATCTTGCTTAACTTGCATTATTCCAGGGCTGGGGGCACAGTATTTCTTCCGCTCTATTGTCATTTACATTGACCTTGCGCATTTTCTTTCTGGGAGAATCCTAGCTTAAGAAATAGTTGTGTTAACCTTCAAAAATAACATTTTTTTATAATAAGCTTGGGGTAAAAAAGATCTGAGGATAACAGGATGATGACATTTTTTGAAACGGTCTAATTATACTCACTAACTTTAATAGCTGACATGATGGTAGTTGGTTCCATCCAGTTTATTTTCCTTGTGAAGCAGTGTCATGGGCTTTTCTTTTTCTACTATCTGAAGAAATAATCTGAGAGCAGCTTTAAGTATTTTGGTGCATCTTCTCTGCTTCCTTCTGATAGTTGTTGAATAGAGCAAAATTTCCAAAACTCCAAAAGTGCTTGGGAATTTCAAGTAGCAATAGTCATGGCTCTGCTGTGGTCTTCAGTAAGGGTCTGTGTGTCCCTGAGCTGCATGTGGGTCAGAGGAGATAAGGTCCATCCCTACACCTTCAGGGACAATCACTTTGCATCGTGTTGCTGCTGCCTAAGTCATGCATTGCCAGCTCTTATAATAAAAGGGCTCTTGTTCCAACTGACACCCTGAATCCATCTCTGTAATCCCAACCCCTAGATCCACCCCTCTCTCTCTCTTGGATCCAGGGAACTCCCTTTAGAGTGGGAACAAGAGGAGGAAGGACCCAAAGAAGATAGTTTCTGAGCATCTATTCTTTCCAGCAGTCTAACATGGAATACTAGAGATCCAACCCTGGAAGACAGCCAGGCTGATGAACCCTGAGAACTTAAAGAGCAGGACTTGCAATTTGTACGTGCAAATGGCAGTACAGCCTTTCATGTGCTTTAGGGTGCTGGTTTTTGATCTGAGTATCTCTTCAGATGTACACGGTGCATAAGGGAAGGCTGAGAGGGCTTGACCTCATTGGCCTGGGAAAAGAAGGCTGAGAAGGGACCTAGTTGCCTTATCTAGAGGTGGTCATAGATCAGACAATGCCAAATCTTCTCAAGTGCACGGTTCCTACAAGGGACAACCTCCATGAAGTGGAATTCTGATAGTATATAAAGAAAAACTTTTATTCCACTTGAGAAAGGAGCAATGCTTGGACAGTGCTGAGAGAGTTGGGTCAGGCTAGGGGGGGATCTCAGCCCTTGAAGACCTTCAAAGCTAAATTGAACAAGACTCTGAGTGACTTGGAAGTTGACGTTGCTTTGAGGAGAGCAGTGGAATAGAGGTCTTCTGAGGTCTCTTGTAGCCTAAGTTATTGTGTGATTCTCTGACATGTACTGTTTTGGAATCTCTGTTAGAGAAAAGTCATGTGGCCAGATGGTTTATACATTTATGCTGACAAGAGAAGAAAGCTTCTTTTAGTGATGAAATAGACCAATAGAGTCAGGATCATTTTTCTCTTCACTGCCAAAAGGTAATTCCCATTTTTCCAGGCTATCTCTGCAGTTCAGCTTTTGGGTATGGGAATTCTTTCTGTTTCTTTTGCAAACCATCCCTTGCTGCATAGCACCAGCACTGCCTTGGGGTATGAGCTGTGGGTTTTTTAACCAATCTGTGTAGTTCAATTTCCCAATGTCTGTGGCATTCCTTTTGGGCAGTGAAACCGTTCATTATGTTGAAGGCCCGCAAGCTGGGGTCTTTGGAACCCAGGAATGGGAGTTGAGGCTTTCTACAAACTTTGGAGTTGCTTTGGTGCGCAGTCCAGTTAGTGTAGTTCAGCAAGTTGATAGTATGTCAGTTCAGTTCTAGCAGTTGGATATGAGGTCTATCTGCAGAAAATCCAAGGAAGTACATCCCTCTTAATGTGCTTGGGCTAAACTGAAGAAACTTGACATTACCTGACACTTTTTGGTTTGCAACAAAGCTCTTCTGTTGCTGCGCAGACACTTTGCTGAAGCTAAAAGCTGCTTAGATCAGTTTTTGGCTGGTTCACAGTTATTTTTCTTCTTTGAGGTTATTCTGACTTAATGGTAATTTGTTAAACTTTTTTGTCTACAAGGAAGACAGCAATTAGATGCTCCTGAACTTTCACTTCTCTGGGCTAAACATACCAAGCCCTCTTATCCTCTCCTCGTGCATTGTGTGGTCCAGCCCTCTGGCCATCTTAGTGGCCTGTTAGCTGGGGTCCAAAACTGGACACAGTCCTCCAGAGGTGGCTACATCATTGCCGAGTAGAGAGGGGAACCTTGATCTGCAGATTGTGCCTCTCCTAATGCATCTGGTGCTTGGCTGGGTTTCCTCAATGCCACAGCACACTGCTGGCTTTCACTTTGTTCTCTCCAAGGCCTGCCAGGTCCTTTGCTGCAGACTGCCTCTGCAGGTGGTTATCCCCGAGTTGGTTCTGATGCCTGAGGTGGTTCTGCAACAGTCTGTTCTGAACATCATGAGGTTTCTCTCAGTCCATCTGTCTGGTTTGTCAAGGTTTCCAATGTCCCTATCTGTCTTTCTCAAAATTGAGTTGCACGATGTGGGACTTACGTTGTGAATCAGATTGATCCAGTGCTTGATGACTGTATATGTTTTATGTTTAATTGAATGGGATTATGTAATATGTTTAATAGCTTTAGGCTTTTGCCTGTACTGTAAAACCCAGTGGTACTAATGGTACTGCTTTAGATGAAAATGAAGAAATGTATGGATCTGGAGGCAACTGAACAGTTAACAGGCATTACAAAACATCTTAATCTGTTTAAGTCCTGATATAAATGAACTATAGCATAAGCATTTTAATTGAAATTACGTAAGGTTGGCTATTGAATCAAAGACAGCAAGCTTCAAATGGAATAAGGAATTTCATTCTCAAGGCTTCAGACTTCTGCTTGAAAAACAGATTTCTGTAGCCAGTCGGTACTAAAATTTAAGGCTGACATAAATTAGCAATGTAACTTCCTCTTAGATGAATGAGCAAACTCTTCACAGATTTGCACAGTAAGAGGCAATGGCAACAGCTTGCAAAAGAGAAAAATTCTGGCTGGGTATAAGGAAAGAATTTTTCTTATCTGGGCAAGGCCTTGATCAAGGCCCTGAGCAAGCTGACCTCACTTAAAGTTGAGGGATCTGTTGGATTAGAAACTTTCAAACTTAATTCTGTAATTTTTATTTTGTCATCTTCATAGTTTCCCATTTCATGGTCCCATCTTCTAATATGTATAGTGTATATTACATACAGGTCCTTGAGGCTGAAGGTTGATGGTATTTCACTAAGCTTTTCACAGAAACACATAAAGTCTTTGATGAAAGGGGCTTGTGACAAAGACTTATAGTTTGTGGACTTTTTATCGTTGCCTATCAAAGGTATCTCTCTTTAAACTATGGTGAAGCCAGAGGGTGATTCAGACTACCTCAGTTGCTTACTCAGTTGTGTCCTCTGTTGTTTGACAGGATTCACGGTTTAAAATCTGGGAAAACTTTAAAGGAATTCCGTGGTCATTCTTCCTTCGTCAATGAAGCTACTTTTACCCAGGATGGCCACTATATTATCAGTGCATCCTCTGATGGCACAGTGAAGGTAAGAAGGTTATTTACCCTTTGTAAATAACACATTCCGACTCTTTGCATGTTGTAGCTGATTTGCCATAACTGCTGCAGACATTGGAGAAGGACTTGGGGTTATCTGCGACAAGTCGTCTGCTTGTGACCCTTGCAGTAGGTTGGTGTAAATGAGAGCTGGCGAAGTTTCAGACTGTGCTTAGACTGCTGCAGAGCCTGTTTCTGCTATATTTATGAAAGAAAGACATAAGTGCAGTGCTTACCTGCCTGTTCCTGCTTTATTCTAGAAATAGATTCAACTGTGCCACCTCTTGTCCTGGAACGTAGGGATTCCCTTGCCTGAAATAATGGCATTTTCTTGCTTACTGTGTTGGACACCTGTTTATTTCTTGGTGCTTAGGAGTCCCTTGCCCTGTAAGCTAGGTAGCCTAACATTAATGAAACTGATCGTAGAAGTGATAGGTTTGGCGTCTAGTCTCAGCAAAGAGTGGCTGTCTTTCTCAGTGTGTAGTAGTTAAGAGGAGTAAAGCATTGTTGTGTACTGGTCATTACTGACTAAGAATAAATAAATAAGTGAATACAGAAAGAGCTACATTAAGTAGGGCATTGAAGCAGTGCATAGGGGGTGCTTCATAGATGTGGCATAGGAGAGTTTAATAGATTTTGTTCATACTAAATGGGGCATTACTTCAAACTTGCACTCTGTGCTAGACTGCCCCAATCATGAGATAGCATAAGAAGGTAGTATCTTTCATATTGATTGTACTAATATGTAAACAGCAAAAATAATCCACAGATGGTGAGTTACATTTCATTTTAAATATTAAACAAACAGTTCCATTTCGTGCTTCTGAACAGCTAAAACAGCCTGGTGTTGAGCCTGAAGCAGCTGGGACATCTCTCCCACTGATACTAGGGAGGCTGTGCTTTTTCAGCAATTTTTGTGGCTGTTGTGTGTAAGGCAAATTGCATGTGCAGAGGCTGCACATATATTCATAGATACCAGCTAAAAGCTGACAGCTAGTCTGGACTTACCCCTCAGGGAATATGCTTAATGAAAGGGAGCCAGGCTGAATTTGGATAATGGAAATTTCACTTTCAGTTCAGTTGTAGAGAAATTGTTCATGGTGTCCACACTTCAAAATAGATGTGATGATTTTTTTCTTTTAATCTGTTATAAACTACAATTTTTGGAATTCATGTTTCCCTTCAGGAGCCTTAAAAATTTGAATCCTGTATCCTGAATCAGCTCATTTTTGTTTTATTTCTTAAAGCTAATTTGTTTTACATTTATTTTTCATACTAGGTTTGGAATGTGAAGACGACAGAGTGCTCAAACACCTTCAAATCTCTTGGCAGCACTGCTGGGACAGACATTACTGTGAACAGTGTCATTCTGCTGCCTAAGAACCCAGAACATTTTGTTGTTTGCAACAGATCGAATACAGTCGTCATTATGAATATGCAAGGACAAGTATGTGATCTTACTGATGTCCTTTCAAGTCTCTCTCTCAGTCATTTTAGGAATACTGAAAACCTAGTTAATAACCTAGCCTTGGGTTTTAAACCTGATTTCTCCAGTTTGCTTTCATGACAAACTGTTCTGTACGCAGGTTATAGAACAGCTTGACTTGCAGAAAGCAATTGCAGCTATGGAGAGATCTTAGTACTGCCTAAATATTTTTGCCCTGAAAATAGCAATGATGTGCTGCATTTTAATCATGCCAAATATTTTGGGGGGGTATCTTTACAGATTGTAAGAAGTTTTAGCTCTGGTAAGAGAGAAGGTGGTGACTTTGTCTGCTGTGCGCTTTCACCTCGTGGTGAATGGATCTACTGTGTTGGTGAAGATTTTGTGCTGTATTGCTTTAGCACAGTGACCGGCAAGCTGGAGAGAACTCTGACTGTAAGTTCTTAGCTTTAAGCTTTTGCAGCATTCTAAACACAAGGATGATTTAAATGTTGGTTACTTATGAAGTCCATAAGGAAAAGTCTCCTACCAAAGAATCTTTCACCTCTAGCAGCCATGGTTGGTAACAAACGCATTCCAGAACACTTGGCTGTAGAATGCCTTTAGGTATTTTTAGAACCATTTTAATTTTAAAAGTTATGAAAATGTTTGCCTGCCAAACCAAGAATGAGTTGGTTCAAACTTATTTGAACTATAGCATGTCTTGATCTGGGCTCCAGCTGATGGAGAATCTGACCAAGCTGTCAGATTTAAAGCTGTCAGGCTTAATTTGCCTTGGATTAAACTAAAGAGGAATACCAGCTGGAATGTCTAAATTTAATGGGAAACACTTAGATGTCATGGATTTCAGTGGATGTAAGCCTTCACTGGACCTCCCCTCACCTGACAAGAAGTAACTACTATGTCACAAAAATTGTTCGCAACTAGACCTTAATATGGGGAGAGGAGAATTATGTTCCTCTGCTTTTGCTGTATGCACAAAGCATGTTAAACCGCAGTCCTGCTTTCCTCTAGTGCTTGTTTGAAGAGAATATTTGGCTTGAGTGTGCTAAAGGAAGAATATTCTGATGCATCTTTCTGCTTATTCTCTAGGTTCATGAAAAAGATGTCATTGGCATTGCTCATCACCCCCACCAGAACCTGATTGCCACTTACAGTGAAGATGGCCTCCTCAAGCTCTGGAAGCCATAGCTTGATTTTACTATGAGCTATGAAGTGTGCCTGTTAGTTGCAGGTTATTGGTGTTTGTGCTTTAACAAGGTCTAAATGCACAGAGAGTGATATTTGCTTAATTTTCTGTTCAGGTTTCCAGAGAATGACATTTTTACTTCTACCTAAGGTTAGGTAGGTTGATGCTTAAATAGAGCATCAGCTAATTTCAAATACTTTTATTTTTACCAGAGTAGCTGAAGCAACTTCAGTGAGAGTGTTTTTTCTGTCTCCTGAAGTCTGTACTCTTCCTACAGTGTTTATAAAAGTTGAACAAGCTAGGAACTATACACACTTACAAGTGGTTGCTGACTTCCTAGAATACAGTAAAATGCTCTTTTTATTTGAGTGAATTATGTGGAATGGGAAAGCTGACTCTTCTCCCCTGCTTAAACAAAGGCACAGTTTTCCTGGAATGCAGATGAGGCTACTTTGTCCTCAGCTTGAAGGCATAGGCTTTTCTAGTCCAGTGAGTTTTGCTGTGTTCAATTGTCACTATAATCTTTCCAATTATATATGTTAAGTAGTGTCACACAGCTTCCTTGGAACGAAACTATTCTTCCCCATTCCCAGCACTTCCTGCTATAAAGCTACCTAATGTGGCAGTTGGGTTTTTTGTTTGTTTGGGTTTTTTTGTCTTTTATTTTTCTGTTGTTGTACTTCAGTTCCAGGCTCAAAGGAATTATTATGTGGGCCCTCTTCCTTTAAGTGCATCATGTCTTCAGACCAGCTTTAACTGAAACAGGTGTCAGGGGATCAGTATTTTAAAACATGCAAAAGCCAGTTTACATAGGCCAAGTTCCTAGTGCTGTGATGCTGCATGTGGTTGTTTTGGGTTTTTCGAGTTTACTCAGTTTAGCTTCCCATTTTCCCAAAAGGGTATGGCATACTTAATCTTAAGTAATTATTTGTAGAATTTATTTTTTTTTAAAATTTCGTATACCTGTGGACCTAGTTAAGGTGATACTTAGATCCCACAGTATGATAAAAAGAAGCTTTCAGGCTCTTCAGTTTGGAGCAGATCATGATTCTGTTTGAGATCCTGACGAATGCACACTGTTGTGAATGTACACCAGAATCTTCTAAAGTCTGACTATAATTTTTCGATGCAGCAAAAAATGAGGTTTTGTCTGTAATGATGAGACAAATGCATGTAGATTTGAATGTGCCGCACTGTTTCCTGTCCTCATCTCTGGTAGAATGCTTTCCTGCCGCAGTAATCTTTCAAACAATAATAGCTTCTCTTTGACTTAATAAATTAGTTCCAATTTAAATAACCTCACAGTTTGGTTTTTTTGGCTGGAGGGCTTGATCCTAATGCAGATATTGGTTGTCAGCTGGTGATTGACCTCCTTTGGCACTGACCGGTGCACTTGGTTGGTCTATGTTCATATTGGTCTAATGTAGAAAAATTTCAGCTTAACTTCTCATGTAGTATTGCTTGTTCACTACAACTGTAGTGTTTAGTTCTATGTTTAGCTGTAATGTTTTAATTCCTAAGTTGTGTTTTACTTTCTTAGATGGGGAAAAAATGTTATTTTTTAGATAGCAAAAAGTGATTATCTTTCCTGCCTGAAACGACACTGGTGTGTCAGAAGCATCTGACAAGCTCCATTGGCAACTAGTACTTTTGATACAGGAGAAGATCTTGACAAAATATTTTTAACATTGTCTAACTTGTCTTTCATTTTGTCTTCAGATTACATGGAACTGCTAATCCTCAATGTAAACTATATCTTACATTGTTCTTTTAAAGAAAAGTAGTTGTAGCAAATAAAACTGTCAGAATACTGAATGTTTAAAGATTGAAATACGTTCTTGAGCTTAAAAATGTGAGAAAATCTGGCATTTCTTACGCTTTTTATTTAAGAGTTTCAGAGTTTATTTCATCAAGTACTCAAGACAAAAAAGCAAAATGTGCTAATACTTCTGAAAGGGCAATGGTAAAACTTATCTCGTGGGCTTCAGCTGTAATTTGTAAAATAGCTGGCAGTTGGCGCAAAAGTACAACGATAATCTTGAAAATGTTAGATTTTTTAATGTAAAATGTAATTTTTAATGTAAATGTTAGTCTTTTTATTGTAATCTAGGAAGACATTTTCTCTCTGGAGAATCAGCCAGGTCTTACGCCACTTACCTGTATGTAAGACTTGATCAAGGCAACATCTAGTGCTTTAACTAATATTAAAGAAAGCATTGTTCACCCGTGGGCCTTGCTTTATTCTTGAATTATTTTGCTTGGAGCTGGGGAGTTCTGTCATACATAGAAGAGTTAAAGAAGCTTTGCCAGGGGAGCGCCACATAGTGAAAGTCTCAGAGTTTAGTTCATCCTCCTGTTTCTGAACTGGGGATCAATGAATTTCAGCCTTGCTTGGGTGGAATCAGCTGCCTGTCTGTATGTGCTTGCAGAATGTATGTGGAAGAGCTACTGCCATCTCTGTCCAAAATAAGCGAGCTTAGGTTCCTGCACAGTTATGCAAATGGTGGATGTAACTTTTTTTTAAATGTTGTTGGAACATGTGAGCCTATAGATACAGGGTGTGATCCTGCTCTGATACCACTACCAGCTTGCCATCTGCAAAGAAAAATCAGACCCTCCCTTGAGTCCTAGTAAGATTTAGAGAAACCAGCTGAAAGCTGAAGACTTGATCTCAAAAAGAAAAGATCCTTTGTGAATGTCTTACAAAGCAGCCAAATTCTCATGAGGTCTGAGAGACCACACAATCTGCATAGGTGCCTGCCACCCCCCCTGAATCCATGATTCTGCATGTTGCTGAGGATTTTGAACCATGAGCTTGGGTGAGCAGGCCTGCCTCTGATTTGAGGCAGCTTGATAACACCCGTGTTCAGTCTGAGATAAGAAGAGAAAGAAAACACATCGCAGAGATTTATAGGAGAGATGATGCTAAAAGCCAGTTATAAATGGTCTGTAAGTACAACTTTTCTTCACTTTCTGCCTAGTGTCTGCATGCGTCTCAGGAGTCCTAAAGCATGGTTATTTCATCTCCAGTTCCTGTTGATGTGGGCTGCAGTGTGTTCACTGGATCGCTGTAAATAAACCCTACAACCTTCTGGATCATGGCAACTTGGAGAGACAGGCTGAGCAAACAATGTTGGGGGAAAAGCCTAGGCTTTAAGTGAATGCTAAGCACAAAGGTGGCTAAATGGTTTATTTCAGGGGCAGAGTAGGAATTGTACGTGGGAATTCTTTGGCTCTCCATGGAGCAAGATATAAAGAGATGGATGCTGCTGAAGTGAAGGAAGTGTAACACTGTTACACATAACAGGTGCTGCTTGCATTATGAAACAGGGTAATAAAACTCTTCAGTTTCTTTGTGTCCCTAAGCCTGTAAAACTGCTCCCTGTGTAGTAACAAATTCTTCTGATATGGCCTCTGCTTTGTTGGGCAGGAAATGACATTTGCTTGTCTGGGAGCAGGCAGATGCTGCAGCCAACTAGTTAAGCCTTTCCTGTCTTCCCAAATTAGAAGCTTTGTAAGCCAAATCAACAAGTAACTGTTCTTTTCAAGGTTTATTCACAGAACGACAGGATGTCTGAGTTTGGAAGGATCGGAGACTCCACTACTTCCTTGGGCAACCTGTGCCAGTGCTCAGTCACTTGGTCAGTAAAAAGTGTTCCCTGATGTTCAGAGGGAACCTCCTGTGTTTCACTTTGTGCCCATTGCCTCTGATCACACGTGTCACTGGGCACCACTGGAAAGAGCCTGGCTCTGTCTCTTTGCACCCTCCCATCAGGCATTTATATACATTGATGAGATCCCTCCTGAGACTTCTTGTTCTCCAGGCTGAGCAGTCCCAGATCTCTTGGACTTTCCTCATAGGAGAGATGCTTCAGTCCCTTCAGCATCTTTGTGTCCCTTTGCTGGACTCTCCTCAGTATGTCCATGTCTCTCTTGCATTGGGGAGCCCAAAACCAGACACTGTACTCCAGGTGTGGCCTCACCAGTGCTGAACAGAGGGGAAGGATCACCTCCCTTGACCTGCTGGCAACTGGGATACCATTAGCCTTCTTTCCAAAAAGGGCACATTTCTGGCTTATGTTTGACTTGGTGTTCACCAGGACCCCAGGTTCCTCCTCTGCCCAGATGCTTTCCAGCTGGTTTGCCCCCAGCATGTACTGGTGCTCAGGGTTGTTCCTCCCCACGTGCAGGACTTTGCACTTCCCCTTGTTGAACTTTATGAGGTTCCTGTCAGCCCATTTCTCCAGCCTGTCTAGGTCCCTCTGATGGCAGCACAACCCTCTCTTGTATCAGCTATTTCTTCCAGTTTTGTGTCATCTGCAAACTCGCTGAGGGTATATGCTGTCCCATCATTGAGATCATTACTGGAGATGTTGAACAGGACTGGAGCCAGGACTGACTCCTGGGGTACACTGCTAGTTACTGGCCTCCAACTAGACACTGTTCCACTGATTACCACCCTTGGGGCCTGGCCATTCACTGCTCATCTCCTCACTGCTCACCCATCCCCCACATCAACCGCTTCTCTTACGAGGATGTTATGGGAGAAAGTGTCAAAGGCCTTACTGAAATCCAGGTAGACAATATCCACTGCTCTCCCCTCATCTACCAGGCCAGTCATTCCATTGTAAAAGTTTATCAAGTTGGTCAACACTTGGTGAAGCCATGCTGACTACTACTGATGATTTTCTTGTTGTTGATATACCTGGAAATGGTTTCCACGTTTAGCTGCTCCATCACCTTCCCAAGAATTGAAGTGAGGCTGCCAGGCCTTTAGTTCCCTGGATCATCCTTCTTGCCCTTCTTGAAGACAGAAGTGACATTTTCTTTCCACCAGTCTTTGGGCACTTCCCCCAGCCACCATCAAAGATTATTGAGAGTGGCCTTGCAATGACATCGACCAGCTCCCACAGCACTTGTAGGTGCATCCCATCAGGGCCTATGGACTTAAGTAAGTCTCCCCTGACCTGATCCTCTTCCACCAAGAGCACATATTCCTTGCTCCAGACTTTTCCTTTAGTCTCTAAGAACTGGGATTCCTGAAGGCCCAGTGTTGCTAGCAAGACTGAGGCAAAGAAGACCTCAACCTTTTCCATGTCCTATGTAACCAGGTTCCCCATCTCATTCAGCAGTGGGACCACACTTTCCCTAGCCTTCCCCACCTATGCACATATAGCAGCCCTTGTTGTCTTTGACATCTCTGACCAGGTTCAACTCCAGTTGAGCTTTAGCTTTTATAACTTCATCCCTGGGTGCTCGGACAATGTCTTTGTGTTCCTCCCAACTTACCTGTACGAGGTAACACCCTCTGCATGCTTCCTTTTTGTGTTTGAGTGTGGCCAGGAGTTCCTGGTTCATCCACATGGACCTCCTGGCATTTTTGCCTGATTTCCTATTCATTGGGATGCATCACTCTTGAGCCTGGAGGAGGTTAACTTTTAATATTAACCAGCTTTCTTGTCCCCTCTTCACCCCAGGGCCTTATCCCATGGGTTGCTTCCAAGCAGACCTCTGACGAGACCAAAGTCTGCTCTCCTGAAGTCCAGGGTTGAGATCTTGCTTTCTACCCTCCTCCTTCCTCTGAGGACCCTGAACTCCACTATCTCATGGGCACAGCAGCCAAGGCTGTCTTTGACCTTCACAGTCCCTACAAGCCCCTTGTTGGTGAGCATGAGGTCCAGCAGAGCCCCTCTCCTCACTGGCTCCTGCATCACTTGGGTCAGGAAGGTGTCATTGATGCACTCCAGGAACCTTCTGGATTGATCATGTCCTGCCAGCAGATATCAGGGTGGTTGAAGTCCCCCATTCTTTGGGCACTGTAATAGTGCTCATCTTACTTCCTAAGAAAACATGGAACCTGGAATTTTCTTTATCTGTAGTTTTTGGAAAAGGATGGCTTAAATCAAACCTTGCTTCTCTCAGTGTGCCTTACTAATGCTTTGAACACCAGTAGCAATCACAGATGGAAGCAGGAACATGTCTTCCCAGATGAAGCTGCTAATGAAAAAGTCATAGGCCAAGTTGCTTGACCTTGCGTCACACTGCAAGCGATTATTGAGTTTACTCCCCTGGGCTGAGCAAACTTCCTACACTGCTGCTGGGTAGCAGGTAGACAAAGCAGAACGAACGAGAGGACAGTTAGGGCCCTGAAGTCTTACAGGCAGGAGTAGAAGTGAGAGCAGGCTCTTAAATGAGTCTGCTGCAGTGAGCATTCTCAGTTTCACAACAAACCTGTGGCATAGTGGCGTTGCTAGGAAAAAACAAGGCTCTGGGGAAAAAACAAGTTTTACATGCCTGGCACACAGTGGAAAGAATCATTGTAATAGACTAGACTATAAGCTTGATGATACGAATTTTGTGTTGTTGAAACTGAAACACTAGAAGTAACTGCAAACATCAACTGAGGTTATGATAAGTTGTATTACTATGGATGGTAATTATGGATGCAGCTATTTTGTGCTACCGTATCCTCAGTTTCTACAGCTGTCCATTTAGTTCATTCCCCAAAATGGGAAACTGTATTCCACATAGAGCGACAAGAAGTCAGAAGAAGTTGTGTTATTTAATTTTTCAGTGGCACAGAACATGTTTTGCTGCTTGCTGTAGCTGTACAATACCCTGAACATCACAGGAGAACTACGAAGCTTGGAAGAAGCCACGCATTGTACTCAATATCCCACTTGAAGGTCTAAGGGCTGGGTCCTCCTTCTTGCTAGCTCCTGCCTTCATTTGTTAGTGCTTTTTGCTGAAAGCTTACTCTACTGCTGCCACTGTATTTCCTTGGGACACAGTTTTTATGTCAGTCACTAGCTCATTTCAAAGCAGAGCGTTAAACTGGTGGTGTTTCTGCTGCCCTTCCCACATTAGTAGTAGCACCTTTCCGTGGGCTGCTCTGCCAAGGCTTCTGGAGCCCTCTGGTCAGCCACCCTCCTGGAAGCTAGACCTGGCCCATCCTCTAGATCAGCTGTGCTGTCATCAAGCATGAAGCAGAATTGGCCACCATGGTCTTGAGAGTAAGTCAAGAACAGAAACATTACCTTAATTGTGTTGCTGCAGCTATGGGTGTGGTAAAAGGAAAACTAAAGTGTCCCTGGGAAAAGAAAGGCCATAGAATGGTCTTTTATATAATACACGGTCATCTGAAACAAAATAACGTCCTGTTGTCATCCTCAAGGCACTGCACTAAGCTTGGTTTGCCCTAGCTGTTTTGATCCAGTGGCTAAGGAAAAAAAAAGAAACAAGGGTGCTTACTGAACTGAAAACAAGTAGCATATTTTAGTGCTGTTTAGTCCCAAGACAGCCGTGCAGGAGTCTCAGCCCTAGCAAGAGGTAGGACTACTTTCTGTTCCTCCCTTTGACTCAGCCAGACTGTCCTACTGATAGAGCAAAGGCTCCTGCTGGTCACATTTGTACAGCTCACTGATGAGCTCTTTCAAGTAGAATTTGGAAAGACCTTGCCTACAGAATTTTATTCATGCTGAGACAAACTACTTTCTGTTCCTCCCTTTGACTCAGCCAGACTGTCCTACTGATAGAGCAAAGGCTCCTGCTGGTCACATTTGTACAGCTCACTGATGAGCTCTTTCAAGTAGAATTTGGAAAGACACCTTGCCTACAGAATTTTATTCATGTTGAGACAAAGAAAGAAAGAAAGAAAAAAGTATGTGAAACATGCAGGAGATCACTATTCTGTAGGTACCTGAAAGGGAACTACATTTGAGGTACAAAAACCATGGCAGCAGCCGTCTTTATAAAATGAAACCCATAACAAGAGCTAGAGATGTTTTCCGAGATTAAGAGATTCCAGATATTAAAGTTACAACACACATGTAGTAGCTATTTCCAGGAAGATAACCCAACTTCTCTTTGTGACACTTTTGCTTCAAAGCAGTATGAAAAGCATAAACTCTGTCCCAAACCAGCTGGTAGAACAAGACTAAACTACCATACTAGAGGTTAAATCTGGACCTGTCTTCTCAGCATATTTTCTGAAAGAAGTTTTTTGCTAAGATTTTTCTGTGAATAGCTGTCTAAAAAAGGAGTGGGTGGTGTCTTTAAACCAACATCTGGTCTAAGAAAAGAGGCAATGAACAAATTTGTAGTTATATTGGAAATGCTTCATCTACAATAATTAGAACATTCATACAGAATTTTCAAGAATCAGCTTAAAATGCACACAATACATTAATTTCAGAACATCCTAGATGCAGTTGGTTGTATTCACTTAAGTTTACCTCCTCTGCATGTTCACATATGCCCACCAACAGGGCTGGTACTTCTTTCCATGACACACCACCAAGGGGTATCTGATTTCAGTAAGCAAGGTGGAAGTCAAGCTTCACATGCCAGCAGGTTGACAGACTCCAAGCTGCCTGTGTGCTGAAAAAGCCTAGAGGTTTCTACTCATGCATGACAGCGAAGGAAGATCCTGCAGCAGCCAGGCAACCACTGGTTGTATACGCGGTATGATGCAGGACAGTGGTCAAACAGTAGTCAGCAACGAACCAAAGCAAGCTTCACATCTAGCTCCAGGGTCAGGACCAAAGCTGGCAGAGAAAGGGACTCTTTGACCTTAAGTGCAGTAGCTTCAGAGAGCTTGTGGATCACTTAACAGGCCTGTGAAGAGTGACTGCATCCTTGTCAGCTTCATGTATTGTGTGGTTGCATTAGAGCCAGCCCCTATTTAACAAACACCAGTACAAGCCCAAAACATTAACGTGTTATCCCAACTGGTACAAAACTTAACTATACCTGACCATTACTTATAAATACTTGTGCATACTTTATTAACAAGAGTATAAGATCTAGAATTCCTAAGAATATCACCACAGAATCTTAGTTGGAAGTCTGGGCAATTGCACACATACAGGAATTACACGGCTTGGAATAGAAGACAAGCAAGGTACAGGAGTTTTCTTGACCAAAAGGCAGGGGTGAAGTGCAATCAATCCACTTCATTTGAGTTTGCATCCTGGAGCTTTATACAAATTGCAAAGTCAGTTTAATTAGTTAAGTTTATTTCTTTATGCTTTTAGAAACAACTATGGCTGGATAGAACAACAAATAGCAGTAAGTGAGGGTGAACTGCTTGTAGTCCTTCACTCATCCACTAATGTATACAAAACAAGCATCACAGGTTATTCACCAGCCCTTTTATGATGTCTGACATTGAACACCACCTCTAGGGTGATGCTCATCATCTTCATAGACTTCTCCATTATAGTGGTGTTTTCTTTTTTGAGATGGATCAAAGTCCACTAAATCCACTTGTTCCATTTCCTCAGTTTCTTCTATTTCCTGCCTTGTAGGTAGCAGTTTTTCAAGTAAAGACAGCTTATCTGAGGAGAGGAAGCCACTCTCTGGGAAGTTCACCTGAAATCATCAAGAACTAGGGTTACTCAAGTCTGCCTGAATTGGCTTTTTTTCATCCCATTACCAGTGAAGTATCTGCTAAAGTCAGCTTTATCATCACAGATGACTTAAACCTGGTGCTTAAAAAAAATAAAATCTAAGTCACTAGGCTATTTTTTAATGCTTGCAAGAAGTTAGCGTCTAACTCTGGTAACTTAACCTAGTCTTATACAAGATTTCTTCTGCCTCAGGCTGCCCTCTGGAAGCACTTTAGAAGCAAAGTAGATGGTACATCAACATAAGAGATATGGTTGATGCTCCTCTAAAACCGTAGCAGACGGAGCCTGCTGCCACAGCTCCCAGCATTAGCTTCTCTCCAGAGAAGAGCAAGCCTTTTCCAGCCTACCCCTTTGCTCCAGCATAGGGAAAGTTACTAATCCACCCTTCCCACAGGATGATAGAAACTAAAGAACATGCCAAGCAAACAGAAATTCACAAGGCATCTGAAGAAATTTTTCTGATACTTAATGTACTTTCATCACAAGAGTGTTCTGGAAGTTTTCTCTTTGTTCAGAACTGCAATTCTGTTTGATTACATGTTCTCACCATTGTCAAAAACAAATACCCAGGCCACCTGATAATTGGTATCTCTTCTTGATTGAGAGAGATTAACACTTAGAGGTTAAATTTTGGATGGATATTCAGTGCTGAATGGTGCCATGGAAGTTGATCCACTTACCCTGAATTCTATGATCAGACGTCCTTTTTCATATGGTCTGCGATAAATTGGCATACCTTCATTCAACACACACTTAATAGCCCCATGCTTGACAACCTGGCCTAAAAAAAAAAAAAAAAAAAGAGACCAAAAAAAGGAAGCGATCCATGCAGTCAACAGAAGCAGCTTTAGTTTTAACTCCCTTCAATATTTCTGTAACCTTCTACGACAGCTACACCATTACGTAGTCTAACAGGGACTTACTGCCTGGTAACTTCTGAGTAGGAAAGCAGGTTGACATCTATGTCACATTCTTGTAACCTTGTTAATGCTTCCCACAAGAAGCATACTTACAAATGTATTAAGTGCTCCATCAGTTCCAAGGCTGAAAAAGTGCTTTTTCAGAGACCCACAGCCTTCAATTCTCATGAGATATCCCCAGGATACAAGTATGTCCATGAGGTAAGGTCTGTTACTATATCACGCAGAGAGAAAATTACTGCTGACTGCTATCCAAAAATCCTGTTCTGTTTAGATTTGTATTGCAAAGAGAAAGGGAAAAAAGCATGATACCAGCACACATCCCTTGTACATCAAGATGGGGTGTTTCTGTCCAGCTCACATTCACTGTATGCTTGGACTTCTAGTAGAAAGCAAACCACTACTTACCAGGATGGGAGGTAATAATAATAGTTCTATTATCCAGCGTTGTGATAGGCTTTTGAAAGCCACATAGTGCTTCAACCAGTTGAATATCCATAGACATAAGAAGGTCTTCATCTTGTCTAAGGCAGAACGAATCAAAGACAGTTACAGAGAGGGAGAAGCAGTACAAGGATTATACCCAACTTCAGTATTTAAGTTAGCAAGGACAAGAAAGCTGTAATTTTAATAGAAGCTCAGGCAATTAAATAAAGAATACCAAACACTGATGCAGCACCAGGAATGACATCTATGCTGAGAGCCATTACTAACCAACTCTAGCTATCCAAAACTGTAGAAGTGCTTATTGAAAATAAATAAATACAGCAAGGCTTGCCTGCATCCTTTTCCTTTCATTGCTCCTTCCCAATTCTAGGAAGAAGTTATCTCTCAGCCTCCTTGCAACTGGGACAATGAATCCCTTCCCTTATGTACATTAATACTTTAAGTGCATCAGATAGCTCTACATTATTCTGTTACACTCATTTGTGAAGATCTGGTATTAGGGAAGTTTGAACAGGTTATGGCCACTCTGGTTTATAATGAAAGTACCTTCTAGAAAGCACCAAGAAGTATCTGGAAGAGCTAACGTAATTGTTTCAATGGCCTATTCTGACTTAAGTATGGCAGTGCTAGTGATGTCTGCATGCACTGCATGTTCAAAGGCTACAAAATCCTCCAGCTTACTCAAAGAACCTCATTATTTCAATAATCCTGTTATAAAGGTCTCTGGAAGAAGACCTGCCTGAAAAATTAATTTTAGACTCTTGATGGGAGACGGGAAACATTCCACTTCTCCCAGAGCATGACCTCAACATAACCGCACAAGGTCAGTAATATCAAGGGTTATCTAAGGACACTAGAACTGAAGGCAGTGGGCAGAAAGATGGACAAAAATAAGCCAGTGGAGTTGTGACTTCAAGACCTAGATAACCATGCAAACAGTTTAGCCCAGACTGTCCCTTCGGCATAGCTGATTCAGGATCTGGTTACACTGGAAGTCAAGAAAAATCAGCTGAGTAAGCTTATCCAAAATGAACAGAACTGATTCTTAACCTGTGAGCTCTGTGTTCTTTGGCATAAGAGTTCTGGCATCAACTTCCAGAGCTCAGCACCATACATGACAGTCAGGCAGACCCAAGAATCTTTGGCTCACCGTTCCTATTTACAAGTACAATGCCAGTCGTTGGTGTTGACACAAATGTTTTCCCTAAATCCACTGATTCCCTCGTTACTGCTGTGAACAGAAGCAGTGAGCCACCATGTATAACACATTTCTGTGAGATGATCAGTGTTGCTTTTAATCGGACCAAAATGTACTGGACAGACTCAGTGCACAAACAGTAACTTGAAACAAGCAGGCTTGCAACACCAAGCAGTACTGCCTGGTAACATGAAATACTTGAGACGTGGTCAATGCTGCTTGAGCCACTTTTGCTTTCGCAAGAAAGGACAGGACCGACTACCCTGCCCAGTGCATTCTGGCAGGAAATGAAGTGTGGGAAACCACCTTTGGTCATAAGGGTGCATGCTGTATTCAGTTTGTCACAAATATGATCCCTGAGCAAAAGTGAACACACTAGGAATTTTCTGTGCCTTGAAGCCAAGTGGGCAATGAATAGCTGCCCACACTAAATGGTAATTTTCTGAGGTAAATGACAGAATGCTATCCTAGAAAGAACAAGGAAATAATCACAAATATCCACATTAAACAAGATCTCAGTATTTTAAGAGTTCTTAAAATTGAAGATTTGTCAACTCTTAATAACTGTAACTGATTTTGTTTGTCTTCCATCCCCTTCCACTGCCAAAGCTCACATAAGAGTATCTCATGCTACTAGAACACAAGTGGCTGTGACTAGTTGTACCAGGATTCCTGCACACTCAGTGCTCCTCTGGTCACCCAAACAAATTCAGTTGACTTCTAGCCACGTGATCCTATCTACTGACACTTCCAGTAGACAAATGGTGAGTGGTAACCATGTGAACAAGCATCTCGGGAGTTAACACAAAGGACTTCCAGAGTTTTTACCTTGTAAATACAGAGTGGTCTTTTTGATCCAAGACAATAATAATGTCCCCTGGCTCTAGTCCTGGCTCTTGGTCCCCTTCACCATGGAATGTTATTTTTTGACCATCCTTCATTCCTATTGCAGAAAACAAATAAATGAACAAACATGTTTCATCTTTTTAAGTGAAAGGCAGCGGTAAGAAATACACAAGCTGGTACTATATAATCTCTGGATCTTCAAATTAGAACCTCAGGACCTACCCTTGAAGTATTCATAATTTTTTTTTTAATCCACTCACATGTCCAACAGCTTTTAGTGGTGCCAACCTGAACTGTGTCTCAAGATCATTAATCTTAATTGCAGTGCAAGACAGCCACCTGCCAAGATAAAGTCCTTAAGGGATATGCTATCAGAACAACTTTCATTATATGCGCAAATACTAAAAAGAAAACAGAAACACTGTGTACAAAATACATTGAGAGCAAGTGACCCATCAGCTTCTTCAGTTTTATAAATAAATGTGGCTGAGCTACTTATGAAACATGATCTCAGTGCCTGCCGAGTGCAAGAAGCGCTCTCCCTAGAACTGTAACTATCATGCAAGAAACCCATTTCACCCACACAAAATCTCTCTACCATGAATTCTATCTGCCTCATGCTAGCTCACAGCCTGTTTTTCTACAGGGAATGGAAAAGACATTGTTCTCACTATTTCCCTGTTTAAAATGTCAGTAATACATCCCTACTAGCCCTCATACTTAATGTTACTGTAACATTTTCCCTGTTCAAAACAAATCCAGGCATTGCATAAGGCATGCTTACACACGCAACAGTTGCAGGTTACAATTAGGCACAAGTCTGTAGAAGCGATGTGCTTGTCAGCTTGCTGTATCTTACAAGCTGCACTACCCCAGAGACTTCTCCCACCAGCTTTTGAGCAGCCTCCTCAACAGTGATGGATTTGTCACTCAGCACTGTCACATTCTCCCATCAGTGTGCAGGTTTGTGTACCGAGTTGCATTTTGCCAGGCAGAGAGTACCTGCACTGAGCAGCGCTGTCAGGGTTGCGTAGCAAACAGAGTTCTAAGCACAAGAGGCTTAGCACTGTCTTTGCACCCTATTACTATAGCAGACCTGGTTCCCCTTCACACTGAAACACAGTAGAAGTGATCGGATCCTACAGGCAGGGAAAAATGCATTAGGCAAGCTAAGCCAACAAGTGATGAGTTTTATTTTAATCAGATCAGCTACCTGACCAAGACTCACACTTATGAAGTTGCTCAAAAATAATTCACTACTTACAACACTGCAGGTTTCAGAATTTGTTCTTAGTTATGTGCACAGGTATTAGATGTGAATATAGAAGCAATTAACGTTCCCTAAAAACAAGTCTACTTTCTAAAAGCAGTAACAGGCAATTTCACTGCATATGTATTCAGCCGTGTTACTCACTAAATCAACACCACGCATTTGCTAAATCTCCTGTTTTAGTGCTGCAAAGTCAGTCAGTACATCCAAGTTCAATACTTCATCTTAGTAAGACACCTCACCTTTGTCAATGTGAACTTCTAGTATCTTCTTCTCTCTAACAATTTTTCTGCCAGTGCAGCTCTTACACCGGTCCTTGGGGCTGATACGCTCCCCGTGCCCCTGACACTCCATACATACAGACTGGATTTGTTGCACCATTCCTGGCCCAATCTGATGAATTCTGATCTGCATGCCTGTTCCCCTGCAATTAGGACAGCATTCTACTGCACCTTTCTTACCACCACGACCTGAGGAAAATGAAAATTGGAGATGGATGGTTATGTGCTGCCAGAAAAAAAAAAACTTGAAAGCTTTAGAAGCAACTTGTGTTTAGTTTCAGTTTCAGTTACCTTCACATTTGTCACAGATAACATTCTTCTGCAGCGCAAGTTTCCTTGTTGCACCATTGTACATATCTTCTAAGCTTACTTGCAGCTGATGGACCACATTTTTGCCTGTAAAAAAAAAGAAAGGCTGTTTACTCAAGTTTGAAAGCTTGGTCTCCAAGTAACAGTAAACTTCCCATGTCACTATGCTCAAGTCATGATAAATCAAGGTTGTGAGCTTTAATATCCTGTTTTAATATAGCTTTATCTTGTTTTGCTGGTATTAGTCAATAGTCCGTTTCAACCTGATGTCAAATTAGGTAACAAGTCTAATGGCTTTGTCAGCAATGCTTCTCCGTTAGACTAAGTCAGAGACATTTAAGTTTCATAACGCAGGACTCCAGTTTTAACAAAGTGACTGAATGTGTCTCCTACAAGGAAGTGGGAAACGCTGCCTAGAGTCAGCAAAGCACTTTCCTCCTCTCACCAGGGGACTTTCTGGAAACTGAAATGAGTAATTAAGTTGTTACATTCAGGAATTAATTAGAGCTTTAGCTACTGCAGCGTCAATTTACGAAGGATACCAAGTTCTGGCTTACTAGGAATACTTTCATACAACACTAACATTTTGATAAAGCCATTTCTTCCTCCTTTTGTCACTAGGTCTACACTAAGAAGTGATGGGGTCAGCACTACTCTTAACCAGTTTGATTAACACAAGAGTCCTTCCCAGTGTGATTAATCTGGACTTTAATTTCTGAGCAACATTTTAATGCAGCTTCAACTCAATTCCACTGAACAGTAGAGAAAAACAAAAAGGTTTCACAGACAATTTAATCTGGCTATGTTATTCAGATATAGTTATCTGCAATTAAAGATGAAATTCACATTTAGATACTACACTTATGGTAGTTTAGTTAAAAAAATTCATTTTAAGGTACATCACCACTCCATTTACTATTCAGCCTATTAGCAGCTGGGCTTCCACTCAGCTAAAGGCTTTCCAAACATGAAATCTGGTTAGTGATTAACATGAGACAATGCACAAGAGACCAAACTACCACGGTATGAAGCAAATGCCCTCCCCTGCTCGTTTCAGGTGTTAAGAGCTAGGGACAATGTTTTCTCTGATTTTGAGATCAAGCCTGTAACTTCACTATAACGCTATTTAAAGTCTTACATCTACAGCATTCTCCTCAGAGACTTTGATCTTGCCTACTACAGCAATCACACTGTAAAGACTGGGAAAGTGTCAGAAAATGGCACATTACCTCGTCTCTCTCTCTGCATCCTCCCACCGCCACCAAAGAACATATCAAATATGTCCATGGGTGACCCGAAACCACCACCAGAGCCACCCTCTTTGATGGCCTGCTCACCACCTTTGTCATACAAGTCCCTCTTCTTTGGATCTGACAGTACTTCATAAGCTTGGGAAATCTGCTTAAACTGCGGAAGACAAATATTGTGCCTCAGACA